TGGATCTCCTTGCTCTCCATCTGGACCGTCTTCACCATCGGGTCCAGGTGGACCTTGTGGTCCAGGGCCTGAAACTCCACAACCGCAGCATGCGCCTTGGACTTGGAAACTACCTTCGACTCCTGCTGATTTACCAAATCCAGCTTCACGAGGATTACGTACACCGGTCACTTTTGACAAAACCTTAAAAGTAGCAAACGGTAATGATTTGTCGTTACCTCAGCCAGTATAATAAAAAGTGTAAAATTTTTAATTTTTTAATTTTCCTTCTTTCTTAATAATAACTAAAATAAAACTTTTTTTTTAAAAATAGCAAAAAAAAACGATATTCAAAAATAAGATGAAATTTTCAGCAGCTTCAGTAGAAAAAAATTTTGAAAGAAAAAAAAAATCACCGATAAAAAAGTAGATAGAAAAAAAGGGAAATAAAAGGCTCTGATTAAGAAGCAACTTTTGAAAAGGAGGAAAAGAACGAAAATGAATTGAAAGGAAATTGAATATAACAGCAAACGAAAGAAAATTTCACAGCTATAATCAAACAAAAATATCACCAAAAAAGTAATGAAAAAAGGCAGAAAATAAAAATAAAAAAAAAAAAAGAAATAAGTATAAAATTGTTGAAACAGAATATCAGAATTAGAATGAATAAAGGAGAAATAGACAGTATTAACCTGAGTTTTGGTAACTTCTCGCCAGATGTTGCCGGAGCGGGATTTGCAGAAGTCGACTTCATTTTGCATAATTGATTGCATATGCTGCATGTAGTTGTAGAGCATTGGTACCGAGATGACACATACTAAGGTGGCAACGGTGGATAAAGCAACACCAAAGAATGCTACTGTCCGGAGGGTTTCAGCTTGTCGTTGCTTTTCTTTAAGTTCCAACTTTTCGTAGTCCGACATGGCTACTCGAGGGGCTACAAAAAAATTGGACACCAAATAGAAATTTTGAGCAAAACTGTGTCGTTGAGAATTGCACAAAATGCTCTTTATATATATAATGCAATCAACTCGTTTACGGAAATTTCTCAATATGTGCTCATGCAAAAATTTGTCACTCCCACCAAACAAAAATATGTCTGTCTGTCATTCTCTCATTTTCTCTGTGTATCACTGTGCAAATCAACGAAGAGAGAGACAAAGAAAGATTCTTTTATTTTTTTTTTCATTTCATTTTTACATTTTTTTTTAAAACTTTTCTGCTACACTATCACTGCTGTGTTTTAAAGGGAAAAAGAGAGAGAGTTTTTTTTTTCACAACAGCAGTCTTCTTCTTTC